GGGGGGGGGGGGGGGGGGGGGGGGGGGGGGGGGGGGGGGGGGGGGGAGAGAGAAAGCACGCATGTGGTCACTGTCACTGCCTGTAGTTCTCGTTGTTGTGTGAATAAATACAGGACTACTAGACCACCCGCCCCTGGGATAACGTAGTACCCAGTCTCAACACCAACCGCTGCGACCGGTGGCGCCTAGAAGATTGGTGTTCATTCCACACATACGCATGAGAGCTGTTTTCTTGGTCCTGTTCCCGCGGGAGTTTTAGTTGACAGGTCGCAGGCGAAATCCGTATAATTATAGCGGCAACAGCAGCAGCAAATCGATAGGAGTAGGGGGGTGGCGGGCGAGAAGATGAATATTGCGTGGCCCCTGCACTACAGGCACGGTGGAACGAGAGAGGTAGAGTGTCGCTACATTTCGTAGGTTTCCAGGCGACCCCTGTGCCAATGTAATTGAGGGTCTTTCACCAACAATCCGAATTGACCGCTTGGTTGGGGAGATTGGATGGACCGTTCAGCACCGAAACAAGAGTTTTTTGGCAACGCTTGGACGAGAAAAGCACTCACGTGTGTGTCGCGTGCACAGCGATAACAGCAGCAGCGGTAAGACACAAACAAACGACGCACTGTTTGCATGGAGGAGGACTTTCTTTCATAGAGGCTCTCACCGCCTCCTGTGGCGGGAGACGGCGATCGCACGTGCGTGCGTGTTTCGATTTTTTTTCCTGGGTTTGGTGCCGGTAAATGGTTGGGGCTGGTCGTGAGTGAATCAACGTCCTCGTTCGTTGTGAGGAAGGCTGCCTGCTTACGAGATATTAGTGGAATCCGTGTGAATAGTTATTATTATGCCGTTTCGTGGCATATTTGTTGTGGTTGGATCGTTTTTTTGACATCCCCGAAGGAGAAGAGGGGATACGGACCGAACAAGGCGGCGTTATTTTTTCGTCTGTTTGTGAATGATTTTTCCGGGTCCTTCTTTGTTGGTTTGTTGTTGTTTTTGCTGTTGGCTTCCCACTAAGAACGGTTCCGTTCTCTCCGCCTACCCAGTGTACCTTCTTCTGACGCGGTCGATTCCCGTGGTCACAGGCTACCTGTCCTACAAAATATATAAAAAACGTTTGCACTTGATATTTTCTTTCTTGTGGGGGTAGTTGGCCTTGTAACACGGAAGGAATACACGTTAGTTGGACCGGTACGGGTGATAGAAGGTACTGAGCGGAGACCGCAACGGTTTTTAGGGCGAAGACGACAACACCATCACCACCACCAATTGTTTCCTCTCTCGGCCCACCTCGTGTACATCCCTTACACGGATGCTATAGCAGTCCATCCAACGATGCATGCTCGCGGACAACTGCTTTAAGCGGTTACTTTACTTCTTTGTGTAGAGCAGCGTGCATCGAACACAAATAAACGGGACATTTCGTTACGATTTTACGACGTCCACTGTGTGGCACAGCGCATACGTTTTCAAAGCGTCAAATAGATGAGCCGAAAAGAACAAGATGGCTACATATATACCGCAAGGAAAAATTAGAACGAACAACAGACATTCCTACGCACCCCCCCCCCCAAAGCACGTTGCAGGCAGAAAAATGCCGATTTCTACAACATAAGCCGGGCACGTAACCGTGCGGACGGGTGGTGCGCCCGGCTGACTGCTACTTAATCCTCCCGCTTTCAACGATAAAAAAAAAAATGGAAAAAAACAGAATTATTAAATCCACAAAGGGGTGTAGGATACCCAACTAAACTACTTGCTGTACATCACATGACTTGTAAAATACACCAAGAAGGGAGAATTACTGTGGCATTCTTTTAATCTAGTTACAAGGAGTAGACAACATCACCACGTTCACTGGGCCAGCATCGGACGGAGTAGGACTGCGACGCCTCGAAATATCATCAAGTCGCGGGAGGGATCAGCTCCCGTCATCAAACAGACAGGGAAAAATGCTGGCACATGCGTCGAAGCGTACCGGCTACTGCCCTTCCCCCCCCGCGCTTGCCACCTTTCTAGACACCTTTTGTCGCGTGGACCCGCGTGTCATAATACCTACACTCGTTGACGCCGATGAAAACACCTACTTGTTATCTTTCGACGTTGCAGCCCACCACAGAAATTAACACACCGCC